CACGTACGAAGCATGCGGACTGCACGAGCTCGACGAACCCTAGGCGGAGGCGCAGGTGGATATCGATCAGGAGGAGAACGAGACGGCGAGACACATGCGGCTACGTCCTCCGTAGCGACTAACGATGTTACCTGGGCCTCATGCCCAGGATCGTTCAGTCCGGCCCGCCCTGCGTCGCAGCTGGCATGCTGGGCCGCATACCCAGACATGCCAGCGCAGGCCCGCTCAGCCGCCGGCCCAGGAGAGCCCAGCAGCAAATTCAAACGCTGCTCCCTGGCCGCTCGGATCTGAGCCGCCGCGGAGGTTGCCGGCGCCGGCTGCGCCACCACCGGCCGGCCACTCCGTCTCTTCTTTCTAGTCACCCGCGTCCACGAATCCGGCAGGAAGAAAACCAACAAAGTAATGGGCTGGAGGCATACCTTGGGAATTGGCCCTTTCCATGGCCGGAGCGCGGAAGCCGCGGTCCTCCGGTGAACAATCCGTCGAACGATCTCCACCTTATCCGCAGGGTTAAGTCCCTCCCGCGCCGGATTGTTGCAAGGCACGACGTCGTCCACAACCATGGCAACTTCCTCCTCTGAATAACCGGGATTGAAAGCTTCACAGATTATGTCAGAAGTCGTTGGCGAATACAACTCCGGCGAATCTCTGGAGCAGATCCCGTCGTCATCATCTTCATCGTCTGAATCCGCAAGCGCCCAAAACCGGCCGCCGACGTGCCTACGCCCAGGGCCGGCGGAGGCCGCCGTCTTCGTGGCGGTCGCCATAGGCGCCGCACGCATCGCCATCTTCGCGGACACACCCCTTGAAACTGGTTGGCATGACAGCAGCCATCACATGAGCCCCACGCATCCTCTACCATATGGACACTATGCCATTAATATAGTACACATAACCACCAACATAAGAAACTTTCCCACATACATGTGAGTTGATTAGCGTATATCACGGAATCACACCATAAAAAAAGCCCACCAGAACACCGCATTATATATATAAAGAGAAAACACAGTTCATCCTCTCCCTCGCGTGCCAAAGCAAATAACAAAAATATATGGGAAATCCCAACAACACAAGTGGCACAACACGCTCAACCTTTCTAGTATTGCAAGAGAGATCTTTTTTTTTTGAACCGCATACATTATATTAATTAATAAAGCAGAGTACAATTGCATCCATACATATGAAAACTATGAGAAAGATCGAGACATTACATGTCCAGAAAACTTCGCAACCAACATATAAAAGAATAATACAAATAAGTCTGTCGGAGTCCATGCAAACAACCAAATTTGGAATCGCCGTTACCATCAACATCGCCGAGACGCGCACTAAGGGAAGAGATGGTGCACCAGCAAACCAAAATCCAATTCAGCGTCATAGCCTTCTAGGCGCCGTGAGTCAAAGACAAGACCTGTAAAATAGCGTGTTGGCTGAGAATGTTCCCCATGCCGATCTGGATCCAGATCTGGCGCAATCCGCCGATGTTGTTGCGAAAGAAGGCCAAACCTGCCACCGTCGGGCCACTAAACTTGCAATAGCATCAATCTGTCAAACTTGTCGGCACCGCCATGAGAGCCGAATATAAGGCCTACTGGTCAGGACGAACGGCAAGCAAACGAGACCATCGGCTCATCGGCGCTGTCGGAGAGAATGTCACCGTGGCGAGGAAGAGACCGATGCCACCTTATTCGGTGCAACATCAACCTCACCAAACTGGTGCTACTACACGAAACAAGCCCTAGATCAAAGGAACAACACGGAGCGAAACGGGTGCCCACCCCTCTCCTCCAGCTGCCGGAGCAGCGGACGGAGAGGGATGGAGACCAGCGCCTCGCCGGTGAGAGGAATCGTCGCCTGTGTCGCAATGGAACAATATAGATCCTTCTGTTCACACACCACAAAGTAAAGCCATCGAAACAAAGTTATTTGTTTCAAGAATACTTTACAGAAGATTTGTACTTGAATCCTTAATTCTTGCCGAACTCCTTGATGAAGCTGACGAGCCGTTTGAACTCCGTCGCCGACGAGCCTCCCTCCGCGACATCCCGCCTCACCTCCTGCGACAGCGCTTGAGCTGACATCCTTAGCTGGCCGGACTCCATGGCCTGCCTCACCATCCCCTCCACGACGGCCCTCTCGCACACATCCTTCATGTCCAGCCCCGTCCCCCATACGGCGCCGACGAACCGGCTGTTCATGTGCTGGTCCGCGAAGAACGGCCAGCACACCAGCGGCACGCCCTCGGTGATCCCCTCCAGCGTCGAGTTCCACCCGGCGTGAGTCAGGAAGCAGCCCACGGCGCGGTGTCTCAGCACGTCTCGCTGCGGCGCCCAGTCCACGACGCGCGCCTTGCCGTTCCCCGCCGCGCCGACGGCTTCCTGGAGGACGGCGCTCTGGCTTGCCCCGACCATGTCCGGCCGGAGCACCCACAGGAACGCGTAGCCGGAGCCGACAAGCCCGGACAGGAACTCGGTGAACTGCTCGAGTGAAATGACGGTCAGGCTGCCCAAGCTCACGTACACCACGGACCGGTCCGCCTGACCGTCCAGCCACGCCATGCATCCGTCGTCCTCGCGCCACAAACTGGTGGCCGGCGCCGGCGCCGCCGAGACGGCGTGGAGAGGGCCTATGGCGAAGACGTCGCGCATATGCGGCGCGATGTGCGCGAGCGCCGACCGCTCCAGTGACGCCGCCGAGTTGAAGATGAGCGCCCGAGCCTTGCGGCTGTGAGCGGTGTAGCCCACCAGAATCTGCAGCAAAGGGTCGACGTCGTCGGTCTCGGCCCGACGGCGGCAGGAGTTTGGAAGATCTCGTCGCCGCAGGAAATCCTCCATCCCCGGGACGCTACGGACCGGCTCATCGAGGTCGGCGCCTACAGGGATGGGAACCTCGCCGAGCTCCACGAGCCTGGGCACGGAGAGGTACGCCAAGAAGCTGCACGCGCTCGCCGTGCGGAAGGCGAGCGCCGGCACGCCGAGCTCCTCCGCGACATCGATGGCCAACGGCATTAAACCGTCGGCCACGACGCACGACAGCGCTGGGAACCCGCCGTCGGCCGCCGGGGACAGCGAATTCTAAGCTTTTCAAGCAGTGGCCCCTCGCCAATGGTAGGAGATCGAAGAATTATATCCCTCGCATCAAACATGGTGATGAAATTATCACGGACCAAGAGATTTTCACTTCCTTGGAGCTCCGCAGGCTTGGAGTCACACTCTAGATATGGACTATCTAGGCATAGGGCAGGGCCGGTCCCGAGATTTTGGGGGTCTGGAGCGAACGTAAAGTTTAAAGGCCCTCGATATAAACATCATATGCATATTATCTTTAAATTTTCTTGTAACATCCTTCGATGCAAAGTCACTTATGATTGTGTCGATTTCAATGTCATCCACTTCTCGATGCATAATATTGCCTATCCATTTAAGATGTTACAGGTAATTGTATATCCAAATGGTTGTACAATAATTTCAAATTTGAAAAGTTTTTTTATCTGAGATGCAACAGTCACTACATACACAGTAAATATGAATAAATCTTTAAACACTATGATTTTCTTAAATCCTTTACTTGAGTGAAGTGTTTCATATCAACCAAAGCAAACAAATATTTAACATGAAAAATCCTTATTTTGGCAACTACTTTTATCAAATTGTTTCTTCCTCAAAGCACGAAGCTGTACTTGAAACTGTAGGGAATAGTAATATGATATGCAGTACCTCAGATTGATTAGATCGGCATCAATCATTGGACGTTGGTCGATGATGTGATGTGGATTTCTGGTGGCGAGCACTCGGCGATGTACGTGTGCGCCCCACTCCGGCAGCATCAAATTTCAGGGGCTAGGCGATGTTCGTGTTGCGTCTCACCAAGACCACGAACACAAACTGGAGTTTGGAGCATAACAGGTAATATAGGAAAATACAGATGAAATCACGTTACACGATCGTTTTTCTTTTGGAGGGAGATTGTCTCAGGATAGTAACGAATAAAGCGAATGGGGCGACGTGATTTACGTGCGTTACGCTTATTTGTTCCCTCACGATGGTACGCTGATTTACATGCATACGCTGCCTGCTGTCCCTTCCTTTCTGGACCTGGGCTACTTTCATGTTTATTACGTGAAGCTACGGCCTATGGGCTAGTTACCCTACGTACA